GGGAGGAAATAAAGCTCAGGACCTTGAGCCTAGCTAATAAAAAGATTTAGGTAACTTGGTATAAATTTAGGATGAGTTTAGGATACCTTTTATGGAGTTTATTTTATCACCCTAAACTTAGGTTTCGTGTTTTTTCATTCCCCAAGGGCCTCCTCATACGTCCATATTTCGCGCTTTTGTCTTGATAATAACCATGAAAACCACGCCACGAATGATGCGGACGCTGACGGGTTACGCTGGTACGCCCAGCGCCAAGGTCGTTGGAATCCATCGTCGAAGCTTCAACTCGACCAGCGAGATGAAACCCTCAGTAACACTTGATCCTGAGCTCGCCATTGCTTAATCACGACTCAAAAGCCTTCTAAAAGGATGCGCCTCCGTATTCAGCACAAACTCATCCAGACTGATCAAATCCGGGTCCGAGAAGATCAAGTAGAAATACTTCAACGTCTCCGAGAACCAAAAACTCTCCATGGAATCAGTCTTTGACGTCTCCGTACTCGTAACATCATCAACAGCCGCATTCGCAAGCTCGGTGCTCGAATACTTCACGACCGCCTGAAACATATCCCACGCCATGTCCTGCCACTTCGCATCCCCCGTGAGGCGATACATGATGAAAACGCTCTCTATAGCTTCTGGGCGGAGAATATATCGCGGATCGCGCGCGTGCAGGAATCCAGGAGGGAGTTTTTGGTTATTCTGCGGTCTCCAGAGCGTTTCGTTCCATTCGCAGGGGGAGAGGGTTGGACATGCTACTAGGTCGAAGATCTCGGGCATTATACCAGTTGGAAAAGCGCTGTATGCACATGCACAGCCTCGTGCAAGTCTTTCTCCGATATTAACATGCTGTTCGATATTAAAGAGTTTTCCGGCGAGTGCAAACATTCCTCCTGCGAAACAGGTAAGATGTTGAGACTCTGTGCTCAACTCGATCTTCTCACCGACCCGAGCATCGCCTAGAAACAGCACGTCTTCTTGGTTCGGCAGCATAGGTCTGTAGAGCAAATGCTTTATGATAACAGCCGCTGCCGTGCGATACATAATTTCGTAGTTTTCGTCCAAACCGCCGAGAAGGGCATGCATCTTTGGCAAATACTCATAAAGAGAATCAGCCAGGGCACCAAGCGAAAACGTGTTATCATGCACAGCTTCGTTCTGAAAGTCAAGACACATAGGCCACATCCCCGGCAAAAGAGTGTTATTCTGGACCCTGAGTAAGAACCGCGATACACGATCTGTCGCATCGTAGAATTTGGGGTCGTTGGTTAATTGTGAGAGCTTTGTAAACTCCATGACCAACGAGCTCGGTGACGCTGAAGGGTCGTGAATACCAGCGACTTGTTTACCCTTCAAGGCATCTTCGAAATTGAGCCAAAAACCAGGAAGCCGATTTGGCGTGTCAAAGGCGAGATATAGCATTTCTCCGAGCTCAGTGGCTTTTTGTAATAATGCTGGTTCGCGACTCAGTTCATATGAGCTGAGAAGACCGCCGAGGTGTCGAATTGTCGTTTCGAAGAGATTCACTGCTTTTTCGTCTGATTTCCCCCAATCTATCGCCGCAGCCGCACTCGCAGCTTCGTTGAATTCCACCTTGAGATCCATTATCCAAAGGGTATCCAGCGCATCAACCAACGTAGCAGCCCACCCGCCAAAAGGATCCTTCGCCTGTCCCGTCAGCGGCATAAGCTCATCCCTCCCCCAAGCCTTTAACTTATACGCCTCCCAACCTCTCCTAAATTCCCTGCGCACCGCATCTCTCCTCTTGCCAGTCTCTCCCGTTTTTACAAATTTACGCTTCTCAGCTTGAATTTTTGGCATGCGCTTTGCGTGGCCAACAGGAAGAGGCTTGATGTCCGCCGGCGGATGGACGAGCCCCACGGTGGACCAGTCAAAAGAGCTCTTTACCAAGACCACGCTGCTTTGGTGTGATAATTGACGCCATAGAAAGAGTGTTGTGAGAAAGGCGGCGATTAGCACGACGCGTGAAGGGAGGCGTCTTGAAGCACGGCGACGAAACATGGTGTGCTGAGACAAAGAAAATAAAAACAAAAACAGAAACAAAAAAGGTGTAAGATGTGTTGAAATGGATGACTTCTTTGTTGCAGTTTACGGATTGAGTTAGAGGTCGTGGTAAGCCAGCCGAGGGGAGAAAAGAATACGAGGGACCCCGATCCTAAGGGACAAAAAGACTTAGGTAGTATAGCCTAAGGTTAGGATAACTTATGATGAGTTTAGGTTGTATTTGCAGAATTTATTTTGACACCTAAAATCAAGATCTGATGTTTTCTTGCTCCCTGGAGCCTACTAAGCCCTGTGAGGTGGTGTCTTACTCGATGGGGTTGGTGGTCCCGACGCCCAAAACGAGACTATTTCCGCTTGTGGAAATCCTGGCTTTGACGCTATACATAGTATAAGTGTTCCTTTCGCCTTGCCCGATTCCCGAGAAAATAGGTCATTGGGATGGTGTTCTTTGAGGACTTGGCTTGTGTAAGTGGTTGGCAGGTTGAGGCGTTGTTGTTGGTTAGGATGGGCACGAGCCTTAGCCCTCGTGGACGACAAATAACAATATGCGCTTTCTGCTCGCATTCATGAACATGATTTTCTGAAATACTATTTCATTTCATTTCTTTCTTTCTTTTGTGATGCCATATCCGCGATGTATCGGTTCCTGTTAACATTTCTCTTCGTGCGAGAGGCTTTCTCATCATCATGCGATGCCGAGCCCTTAGTTCTTCCGCTACAAGACGTCCAAGTCCTTTCAGATATCCCCAACTCATTCATGAAAGGAATCCCAGCCAAAATAGGAACACCGTCTCAAAACCTCGTTCTTTTACCATGGGCGTACGTTTCCACTTCAATAACCACTATTTACGACTAACAGAGACAGTGATTTGAACAACACATGGATATACGCCGACCCATTCTGCAAAGACTCAGGCATTCCAAACGACGAATCATGCGAAACCCGAAGAGGAGGAATATTCAACGAAGAAAAGTCGACGAGTTTCAAAGGAGCAAGGGATATCGTCAAAGCAGGCGGTGCACCAGACGAGACATTCTTCAAAGGGGGGCAATATGGCGTTCGTAATCTCGTCAAAAGCGCAAACGGCGCAGTTGACACTTTCAACCTTGAAGGTTCAGCTGATCTCGACGACTTTCCCTTTGGTATACCTACAAGTAAATGGGATGATACATACAGCACTCTAAGTCCCCTTGGCCTGGGCAGAAATTCAACGTATCTCAATGCTCTACGTGAAGCTGGGAAGATTGGTTCGCGAGTATGGTCTATCTTCTGGGGCCGTATGTGGATCAAAGAACCTCTGGACGGCTCTTTGGTACTGGGTGGCTATGATGAGAAGAAAGTTTCTGGGAACAATTACACTGCGCCTCTTGTGTATGGGGATTTCGATGGTTCGGATGGGTGCTGGACTGGTATGAAGGTGACTTTGACTGATATCCAGATCAACTATCTCGGTGGAACGAATGTCAGCATCTTTCCCAAGGGGACGACGCTACAGTGTTGTATCGATCCGGCGAACCACTTGCTTCTTGAAGCGCCGACGCCGTATGTACGAAATTTTGAGTCTATCAGTGGTTTGAAGACGAATTACTCGTCTAGCGGACTTCACTGGAACGCACTTCAGACAGGTCTGGACAAGCAGTACGTTGAACCAATCTCCAGTTATGGTCACACTTACTGACGCTTGTAGATTCTTGGCAGACTTGACCTTCCATTTCGACTCCGGTCTCAAGATCCGCGTCCCGAATAACCAATACATGATTCCCACCGTTGACATCGCCTCCAACGGCTCACGAACTACTGATACATCCAAACGCGACATTCTTATAACAGACGTTGAAGACGAACCGCCGATCCTCGGGCGATATTTCCTCACAGCAACGTATCTCATGGTCAATCATGATGCTGGGACTTTCACGCTCTGGCAAGCGAATGCCACTCGCGAAAGAAGCCTGGTGAGAGTATTTGACGAAGAGACGGGGAAGAAGTGCGAGAATACTACGGGCGTCATACAGCCTTCCGCATCTTACACGGGCTCTACATCCGAGGGTTCAAGACCAGATGGAGGGAGTGGTTCGAATTCGGGTTCACCCTCTGGTGCGGTCATTGGTGGCGCCGTTGTAGGGTCTGTAGCTGGAGCGGTGCTGATAGGGCTGGGAATCACTTACTTTCTGATCCGGAGGAAACAAAAATCTGGTATGTAAACCCTCTAATGTTGTGTCGTTGTGGGAGTACTGACTGAGGTTGTAGACACATACTACTTTTACCCTGCGCACGAGGAGTTGCAAAGAGCGGATATATACGAGATAGATGGAAATCCAAGAGCCGACGACGAGTCCTACATGAAAGCTGGAATACGATAGAAGTGGGCAAAGAGAGCCTGTCGTGTATGAAGCATTAGGAAGCCAGAGCGGGATGCGACAACAATCGTTCAGGATCAGGAGAAATAAACCCGTTAACCTTTAGGGCCTGTCCATTCTAAAGTCTCCTAAAGTCATCTAAGCTGATGCTGTAAAAGAGCGCATCGAGAGAGTGTACGCGCTTCGCTGCATTTGTGTAAAACCAGCCTGGGGTCCATGTGACCTAGGCTCGAGCTTCATGTTTCTTTACCTTCGACGCCAAAATTTCATATTCTTATATCCGATTTCTACGATCTGCACAAAGCTACCTGAGATCCAAACTAACAAACAGTCAAAAACACATATCTCGTGTCTAAAAAGTTGACGCAGCCTCAGATAGCACACTGAGCAAGCTTACCGCAGCGCTGCCAATTCCAACTACACCACCTCGGCCACCCTTATCATAGGCCCTCACACTGTGGTGAAGTCCATCACGCCTTGGGATTTTGGGAGCTCGATTGTAATACCTCCCGTTGAACTTCTCTTGTCTACTACCGGGCTTCTCTTGCTTCTTTTCGGCCCCTCTGCGCGGGGGATGCCACGCGACATCTCTATCACGGTCCTTGACAGCCCTCCTACGATGTGTTCGAACAACTGCATTACCCTTATAATCGCCTTCCATCAAAGGGATGAAGGATATCTCTTCGTCGTCGCGGTTTGAGCAAAAAAGACGTCTCTGTCTGGCAAGGGTTTCTTCAGGATACGGAGGTGGAGGACGGGAGGTGGTTGTCGCTTCACTTTCGCGAACGAGCTTTGCCACTTCTTCCCTGGACAAATCGCCAAGTATTGCCACATAATCTGGCCTTGCTTCGTAGCGCACCCCCGCTCGTTGAAGCGCCTCGACACTGACAAGTTTGCGTGATATCTTGGTCCAAAGGGCATCATCAGCTATTGCTCTACCGTTTTGATCTTGGCTCACAAGCCCAGAAGATTGAGCAGGACCACGCGTGCCATTCTTGCGCCCATATGTGGACAGAGACGAGACATAGTTGGGTGATGTCTCCTTGGCTAGCTGAGAGGTCTTCGTTGACCAACCCTCCAATGACATGTTCTGTTGCAAAGTGTCTGGTCCCTTTGGTGAAAATCTACGCTCGATCTGTCGGATGACTGAATCCTCATTATCTGAGGCAATAATGTCCTCCGTTGTAATGAGATCAATTCGTATACTTGTATCGAACTTGTTATCCACATTTGACTTCTTTTCATCGTGGGGGACGTAGTCCAGGGGTTTGTCGAGTGGTTTGTGAGCATGAGAGAATGTGCTGGCTGCGGTATCGGCAATATATCCAAGGTCGTTGATATACGCTATGAGAACATCCTGTTCCAGGTCAATATTTGATCAAAGGGCTTCAGATATCATATAACTAACTTTCTTCTTGCTTAGGACTTGGGAAGAAAATCCTTCTTTCTCCAGCAGCTCCTGGAAATATCGCCATAAATCATCATTCCCTCCTGAAAAGGATTCGGCATTCCAGTTGGCGAAGAGATGGGCAGCAATGTGGTCGACCTTATCCTTGATCTTTTCGAGGAGGTCAGACTGGTGTTGATCGTAAACTTGAGGCTTTTGTAACTGGATTGAGTCCAGTAGTAGCTCAATAGCCATCCTTTTGCCGGCAAAGATAGGCTCTATGGGTTTCAGTTCACCGCTCTTGGAAGCCTCCTCTCCTGCAAGAATTATCTCATCATCATGATAAGTATCGAGTAAGGATTTGACTCGCTTCATTGCGAAATCCCAATCCTCGACTAGTGAGTGAAGATGATTTGTGTATGATTGTTGGATATGCACAGGCAACTCGTCTTGTTCCTCCGCAACTTCATCTCGCAACCGCCTGAGAGTCATTTCAAGTTTGTACAGTTTAGTAGCCACATTGGAGAAATCGGGGCCATATTTGCCAATGCGTCGATACGAAGCCTGAACCAACTCCCGAATGGCGTCAATCTGAGCGAGATCGTCATTTTCAGTCTTGGTAGGCTCCGAAGAGTCTATGGACATTATGGCTTTCCAGTATCTCTTTCGAGCAGCGATTGCCATTTTATCGCCGACGAAGCGGTCCATGAAAAAGCTGAAGACGGCAAACTCATCTTTCGTCATGATATACGAGTCGGGCTGATCCTGTACCCTGGTCCATATTTCTTCCAGTGCAGATTCAAGGATATCTCTGATCAAAGGATACGAAGCCCCGTCAGGAGTTTCACGAGCGATCTCGAGGCTCTGTGCAATAACTTCTTGTCGAGATGCTACGCGCTTAGACGAAGATGGGGATGATGCAGGTTGGCCTCCCTTCATACCTTCTGGGTGAGTTGTCGATGTACCTTCCTGCTTTTCGTACTCTTCAGTGACCGGTGAAACGTCCAATTTGGCTGGAGTACGACTCCTCGACTCCTCCTGCAACAGTTGCATCTCATCACTATTGGGCAGGAACACTCGTGTGGCATTCATTTGAGCCCTGATACTGTCGAGAGTCGAACGAATAGGCATCACTTGGGCCTCTCCAAAGGCATCAATCGAAACAACATGGCCATATAATACGGAGGTCTTCGCATCGACTACCCATGAGCCGGAGTCACCAGGACTTAAAGCTGAGAGCCCGTTAGTCAGTTCGTTATAGCAGAGTACTCATTATCACTCACAACAGCCATGCTCCATGGTAAGATCGTAAACCTCAACGAACGACGATCCAGGGGATATCAGCACAGAGGAAGTATCAAGAGACATCTCTCCAATCAGCTTGGCACCTCGCTTCAGTACCATGACTTGCCTAGACACTGATACGCAAGGGTTCCCCACTGGAAACATGATGGGTTCAAGGTCGCTTTCCTCCTCAAAATCTGACGAGTCAGATTGTCCATCCAGGACTATTCTATTGGGCAATGTCGCTTGTTGATCCAAATCGATAATAGCCCAGTCATAGTTCTGTGCCATCGGGGCATCGAATGTATTGCAAAGGATGGTGCCGATTTCCAAGGTGTTTTGAGATACAGTGGTATCCAGTCCCTTATCGTTCAAGGGCTCGGGGTGCTGCAGTGAACTTTGAGTCGTGATTGTGGACTCGCCATCAGAGTCGCTTTCGCTTTCGGAAGCGTCTGATGAGGAGGAAGAGAACGGGACGTCTCCCTCATGAGCTGAGAGATGATCAGATGGAGGGCGGTGCAATTTCTTTAGAGAATGGGCAGCCGTTAAGCCAACTAGACGTTTGTGGGTGGCTTCAACCACAATGATACCGCCGAAAGTCGCCACGACAGATGCATTGCCTCGCCTAAGTCTAATCGGCGTGCCGCACCATGTTCTCTCTGGCATAGAGTCTGTCAGAATCTCTATCGCATTGTCATCCGTCAGTCGCATGAGTGCCTTTTCCAGCACAAAGACCCGAAAGTCAGGCAAAAGCTCTTCTTCAACATGACCTTGCACGAAGAATTTCCTCACTCGCTTGGCGATCTTTCTTTCGCACTGAATGACAATATGGAGTTGGGCGCCTAGTGAGCTGAGTCCCAGGTATTTCAGCTTCATAGAGATATCTCCTGGATCCTTCTTCCTTTTGAGGATGTAGTCCAGTAGTGGTTGGGTGTACAGGACTTTTATGTCGAAGAACCGTGCTTTCAGTCGGTCAGAAACAGGCCCGTCGAAGAGTCTGAGGTCTGTGCCGGGCAGTTCCGACCCTAGAGGCTCGTTGTGGCTATCTTGAGATAACGGCGTGGTGATGCCGATACCAGAATCAGACTCCTCATACTGGGGTGTTTTGGGATCTACCTGTTGCGCAGATTTTGATGTGATGGTTGGAGGTGAACGAAAGGGAACAGAAGCTCGCCAGTTTGAGAACTTGTGCCTCAGGCCTTCCGGGCATTCGACATCGGGGCTATCTTGGGTAGCCACCTGGGTTGAACTTCTCTCGCCGCCTCTGAGACGGGACGGCAGTTGCCCCTGCCATCTTTCAACAGTCGTCATTTCGGCATAAGGTAAGTTTATTCTGTACAACTGAATCTCTTGAAAAATGATGGAAGATTCGATTGACCAAGTTCAATACCAATACTGTCGAGGATATCCGCACATGTAAGACGCGACAGATGTGCTTGGGGCTCAGCTTCGAGGGCGGTGGTTAAGCATCAATAATGCATAAGTAGCTGCATGAGCATCAGCAAATCAGACCAATCACTACACAATAACCAAGTCGAGGTCTATTTTCAAGCCTGGATCTGCAATCAGGCTCTTAACACGCGAGGCTTTCTTTCAAGTCGTAATAATGTCGAGGCTCTGCGCTCTGACGTTCGACCTGAAGCTCGCTGATGTTGAGACTCTTCACCATAAATATTTCCCTTGTACGATGGCATCAAGAATTAGTAGCGAACTCAGCCAGGATGCATATCTTAATGTAGCGATGGCCTTATGGTCGTGGGATCTGTCTCAGCCCTGCAATGAACGGCAACCTCATATCTGTATCCACCAACGCTGCATTGGTGGTCGCATTCCCCAGCTTCAACGGTATTTTGCATACTACAAAGCAATCGTCTCGACTTACATGGACGCGACGTCTGCGAATACAAGACCAATAGAAACACACGAGGATCTGTTCCAAGTCGTTTCCATCTTGAAGTCAAATCCCGATGCGACTTTATCAGAGTTGTGCCGACTGGCTCGTTCAAGCTCGGGCTCACAAATGGCCGATGGAGCGAAACAAATCGATGCAGTTGCACTTGGCGTGAAGACACTGTTGATGATTGACCCTTCGGCTCTTCATCATTCTTCCGATAGACTTGAGAAGGGGACATATCGAACTCACTGGAAAGAAGACGTACCTTTCAGCAAATACATCCAAGACTCGTTTCCACTTGGCAATCACAATGTACTTAGCTACAACAATAGTGAGTTGTTTGCGGAGGTCAAGAAGGAGCTCAAAGCTGTCAACCTGAAGAAACGACTGGGTATCACCATTAGGGCGACATCGGATATTCGAAACCACCTGCATTTTGACAGAAAGAACAATTACCTCGAGGTTTATCATTACACCTCTTTTCTGAAAGAGCAGCTGAGAGTGACTCGGGATGTTGGAGATTGTTCCAGTCCGTCTTCTTCACTCAAGAGGTAAAGTTCAAACAAGAAAGGAATTTCACGGCTACTAATATTATGCAGAGGGGTATTACCACGCCAACTAGTCCTTGAAGTATTGGACTCTCTCCAGGGAACTCTGTTCCCGCTTTCAGATCCAAGGTCCAAGAAACTTCTCCGCTCACTCATAATGAAGTGCTCTTTCGATCCAGATGTCCTCAACTTTGAAGTCAGCTCAGTGAGACGAGTAGGAGAAGAGAGCGTTCCATACGTCTATTTAGCCGACAGGCTAGCAGACTTATACAACGAACTCCAGACTCCTCGACCTCGTGGCTGGCTCCAGCAGTCGATGCAGAGAAAGAGTGGTGCGAGGCATGTCATGATGGCTACACTTATCGGCGTCATCTTTGCTGTGCTCTTGGGAATAGCCTCGCTCGCTGTGAGTTCGTACCAGGCCTGGATAGCATATCAGGCGTGGAAGCACCCGGTTCAACCTTCCTAGAGCTTTAAGATCCAGTAAAGAAACATCATGGCCACCGCAACTTCCTCTGCGGCAATTCTCTCTGAAACGAGCCAAGTCGGTGCTTCAGGTGCCACATACGATCACAGCCCGTGGAGAACGCGGGATCCCCACGCCCTTGCTTGGTATGTGCTTATAGAAGCTTAATTGATCCAGCGCAAAGTGATTAGAATAAGAACAGCATTGGTTCATAAACTATCACGGAAGCCTGACACTTGCCGGGTAGATTGACGTAAGTTTAGATAGCCTGGCGAACTTAGAGGCCTTAACCGCCGTTGGAAATCGACCAGCCTCTTCACTGACTGGTGCCTTGGCTTGTCACTATTATCATGTGGTTAGTCGTGTGTAAACAAACTCCCATCAAAACTTATGGAACAAAGGCTGAGAGGCTTCTCATTCACTGTGTGTCTCTAGATTACTGGTATCACAATTCCAATAATATCACGCATCTTGTATGGCAATATCATACGTCGTATCCTAACTTTGCAATCAACTGAAACATCTAACTAAGTAGTTCATCATGATAATGTCGGCATCACTGAGCAAACCAGTGACTCAAAAGTCTTTCCGCATGATATAAATGCTAAAGATGACGAATATAGTCCGCCAAATTGATTATGGCCGAAACTTGTTTCTTGGAGCCCAGAAAGTCAGACACATCACATAGACGATCAAGTGCCTCTCAATGTTCAGGAAAGTGCATGAAGTCATCCCCTTCATGGTCTCGAAAACGTCCATCATTGAGACAGGTTCTATTCTCGCCTAGTATTAAGTACTGGCCTCCATCGCGCAGGATAGAGAGTACCCCATTACCCTCTAGACCCTCAAGCATCTTTTGTACTTCTTCATTCTTAACAGCAGCTAAGCGCCGCGCCGCCCTAGCAAATACATCTTCGCTGTTGCACGAGGTCTCAAACAAGGCTTCAGCACCTGTCATATCAATTTCCTGATTGGCGCTATCGTCAAAGGAGTATTCCATTTCGTTGATCTAGTTCGACATCTCCATGCCCACTCGCGAAGGGAACAATACGGTAAGTGCCGATGAGTGTTTAAGACGCATCGAAGATTTACGGAAGGGACCTGCCAAGCGACGACTTCCTCAAACTACACTATCTTTCGATTATACCCAGGTATGGTATTATAGTACTTAGGTATGTGTATAAGGATTAAGCGGCGTATACGAAAAGAACTGATTATGCTTGCGGGCTGATACCGTTTAGATATCCTGGACAAAAGACGTTATTTATTAAAGCCTCACTGGACTTCCCGGTGTACGTAGTACTCCTTGCTGCTGAGGCCATACTTAAACTTCTCTTCATTTGTATCATTGGGAGTCTAGTCAACACTGACCTATTCTACGTGGCCATGACTGAGAACCCGGAACTGGTCGTCTACCCATACCTTAGCACTAGGTATATGCTTCCTCTTAATGTTAAAACTACCTACGTGCTAATCCTCGGACGACGAGTAATCTGCGAAATACCTCAAGGCAACTTTACTTCTCTTACATCATATTGGGTCAAACAAATGTTAAACTTCAGGGAGGAAGTATGGGTACATCGAGCCAATGAGACACAGAGACCTGCCAAGTTTCCAAGAGCCGCAAGAACGCTTGCAGATCGGATGAACACCTTTGAGGTATTTCTGCTGTGGCTCGGACACCCATAGGTACACAGTAATATAGCATACACCCAGCAAAGAATGTACGCTCTGTTAGCGTGCCCGTTAACATATGACGTTATACTTATCGAGCTATGCTGGACTTTCGTATCGTACTTCCTCCTTCAGTAACGAATCTCGTCCATGAAGCTCGTATCACATGGAAAGCGTCATCAGAGCAGCTAAATTTTGGTACTAGCTTTTCCATGAGGAGTATCATGATTCTTTCTCAAACCCAAGTTTTCCATAACTTGTTTTTCTGTATATTATAGCTAAATGAGTGATGAACACTGCTAAAAATAACCGTTATATAAAACGTGAAACAGGGAACTATACTAAACAATCTGTTAAAGGAGAATGCTTGCTGGAGAGACAGGAATACAAAGAACGACAGAAGGAAAGAACAAACGAGGAACAAATTGAGAGAAACAGAAAGATGAAGACAAAGAAAGAGATTTAGAAGGAAGGAAGGAGAAAGCTCTGACGACTATGCTGGTGTTGATAGGATCGTTCTTAGCCTAGCACATAGCCGCACGGAACTACTTCAATTGCCCTTTTCGGTACCAATACCGCCAGGAAAAGTCTTGGATAAAAAAACAGCAGAGTCTCGTCTCTTCCTCTGTGTAGGGCTGGACCCGCCGTTCTGTCTTGCGTTCTTTCTCGCATTTCTACGTGACATTTCGGTCTCTGCTTCCCTGCATTGTGAACGTGTAATGACATGACCTCTCTGGACAAGTTCTGAGGCTTGATCACCAACATCATCCTCTAGTTGAGAAGATGGAACATGAAATGCTGGCCAAACAACTTGCATGATGTCGTCAAGTTCTATCGGCTGAGACTCGGCACTCGACCGTCGTGTCTGTTGACCCTGGTTTTCTACCCGCGCAGCCAAAGGTTCCCGAGCGGCACTGGGTGGCCCAGCCTTGCTGTTGCGTTGAGGTACCGGCGATGGTAATGGCATCCATTCCTCAGGCATATGAAAAGAGAAGACTGGGCGGACTGGCTCCAGTAGTTGCTGAATAACTAGCCAGGCCTTGCATGCCTCCAAGGAGACCTGGTATAGGCGTGCTTTCAAAGTTTCCTTCTGTGAAGAAGGGACCAAGTCGGCAATGGCGTCGGAAACTTGATCAGCAACCATCTTTGCACCAGCTTCTCTATTTCGGGCTTGCCTTGCTGGCTGGATCTTCAGCAGAACCGCACGCGTGAAAGTTTCATGCACTGGATCCTCTGTCTCTAAGTCCCGTAGAACATCTTCGAAATCACTGTTTCGAATGAGATACGTTGATTTGAAAACATGGTCGGCGAGAGCCATGCTGTAGATTCTGAGACCGGCTGCGACCCTCATTTGCTTAGCGGCTGGAGAGTTCGAAGCGGGCAGAGGGATTGTGCGCTGGATGGAAGCGTGATTTCGAAGCCTTGCCCATACTGATACATCGGCCAGGCATGTATCGTCTAGAGTAATGCCAATAGAAGATTCGACGAAGCTGAGCGCGTTCTTTAATATACTATCCAAAGCATCTCCACTGCTCAAGCATATTAGAAATTGATCGTAGTAGCAATCTGGCTTTAACATACACTTCAGCTCTTCTGGCTTCAAAGTTGTCAAGTTTGACCACAAAGGAATGAAAGGTTGTCAATCTTCCGCGCGCTTCGCCTAAGTTCGTAGTTAGACCATCCACTCGCTCTTGCATAGACTTCTGTTCACTTTGGAACGTTGCCAACTCCTTCTCTGCTTTCAACAAAGTTTCTTTCTGCGAAGCGTTAGTAGCTTCGAGGACATTGATCGTGGACTCTTTTTTCTTGATCTCATTCATTAAACTTTTGGCAGACGAAGATTGCAACTCGAGCTTTTCTTGCAGTGTCGCCAATTCAGCTTGCCGTTTCTTGACGCTTTCGTCGGCTGCTTGTTTTACTTTGAGTATTGCCTCGTTCTGTGCCTTTTGAGAGCCAAGTTGCTTCTCAAAATCAACCTTCTGTCTTTCAAACTCGGTTTGATGACGAGATAGCGCTTCAATATTCGTATCGTATGCGGTTCGGAGCTTCGTCTTTTCTCGCTTGAGTCCTTCGTTCTCTCCGATGATCCCCTTCAAGGCATCGAACCCGCCCTCGGAGCAGTACTGGTGAAGCAAGGTCACCAGTTGGTTGATGGCATCTGACGCGTCCTGGTGAGGCGACAGGTTTTCGACTCCCTGAACTCGCTTTTCGTTATGCGATGGCATTATGGTCTAGGATAAGGTCTGCAGGAGGTTGACGGGACGTTGAATTAGTCTTGAGTATGTAGGAACCGGAGGGGGATAAATTTAAACATCAGAAGCGTAGAAAACAATGGCAGCCTGGTCAGTCGAGAACTTGATCTTTGGGCAAGCTGGATAGCCAGATATGGTTATCTGGTGGGCCTCCTGCCACATCATAGATGCGTGCATATGTGAACAACTGTTGGTTGCGTTGGTCACAGCCTGCTCAACAACAAAGCCCGCCGCGGGTATACAGTGCATTTGAATTGGCCACTGAGATCGCTGACGATACAAGCAGAATCACTTTGATATGTATTGCTTTCCCATCATAAGTTAGGCAATAGATTGACAGATCAAATCATTGATATATATGACAATTTAAGAAATTTTAGGACATCTGATGGCAGGTCTGTGGAAAAGTGCACCAGTCTCCTCGTGGGGCACACTCGCACGTCTGCCAGGTGTCATACCTCCCGCATTTCAGCAAAGATGAAACGCCTGGGCGTAATTGGAAGATACCGTGGGGGTAAAGCACACGTCCCTAGTTCTAGAACAAACAAAGAGCGAGCGGAATTCGGCCACGGTTATTGCTTATTCAATTCAGAAGAAGTAGAAGCGAACAAGTCAATCTTTATGGTCACTCCAGGTTCACGTATGGCATGATTGAAGCAATGTGATGGTAGAGGAAACCGTTGCTGCATTCCTACACCAAGAGTTTAGAGAGATGGCAATAAATCCTGTTGATATCCATAAGCTAGCTTTGGACTGCTACAAAACATATCCTGCCCGCGTACGAGCATGAACATTTACATTTAAAAGCCTGACTGGATAGACTAGGGCGGCAAAGCCAGTTCAGTCAACCAGGATCAAGAGGCAGCTCCAGTGGAGGACAGGGGTGGACGTATCAGATTGGCCAGGAAAACAGGCTGAGACGGGATGTTGATCAGTATCTAAGTGATGCCAAGGGAGGATGAAGCCAATCCCCGCAAAGCCGGAAAGGACAAGACTTGAGATATCCTATCTACGTTGAAGAAACTAAACTTGGCGATCACGGCTGCATGACTCAGGCCTCACAAAAGCGCTTCTCCA